ATAATACAACTCTTTCAAACGTTCCAAAGGATTAGGGTGCGCATGGAATGCATTCCGGAATAAAAATTCTGTTCCGGAATGCATTCCGGAACAGAATGGCGTTTGTTAAAAAATTTCGGGAATGCATTCTGGAGGGATTTTTGCATTCTGGAATAAAAATGCGTTTGTTAAAAATACTTGATTCCAGAATGCATTCTTGATTCCGAAATGAGTTTTTGGCAAGAAAAAGAAAAGCTACTTTTTGTAGCTTCTCGATTCCGAAATGCATTCTCCCTATTTTTTCACAAATTTTTTTTTTAGAAAATGCATAAAAATTGAAAAATTCTAGAAAAATTCATAAAAATTTCCAGAAAATAAAAAAAAGTCAGATTTCGGGAAAATATGAAATTTGGTGAATTTTTTTTTAAAAAATAAAAAAAAAATCAAAAATTTCAAAACTTCACAGAATAGCTTAAAACACATGTGGCCACCCACTTTGAGTGAAATTTAAATTTTTTGAGGTGCCCAAAAAAAATCAAAAATTTCAAAACTTCACAAAATGGCTTAAAATACCTGTGGCCACCTACTTTGAGTGAAATTTAAATTTTTTGAGGTGCCCAAAAAAAAAGAAAAATAAAAATAAAATAAAAATTTTCAAAACTTCACAAAATGGCTTAAAATACCTGTGGCCACCCACTTTGAGTGAAATTTAAATTTTTTGAGGTGCCCAAAAAAATAAAAAAAAATAAAAAATTTCAAAACTTCACAGAATGGCTTAGAATATCTGTAGCCACCCACTTTGAGTAAAATTTAAATTTTTTGAGGTGCCCAAAAAAAAAAAAAAAAAAATAAAAAAAATTCAAAACTTCACAAAATGGCTTAGAATACCTGTGGCCACCCACTTTGAGTGAAATTTAAATTTTTTTAGGTGCCCAAAAAAAATTTAAAAAAATCAAAAATTTCAAAACTTTACAGAATGACTTATAATACATGTGGCCACCCACTTTGAGTAAAATTTAAATTTTTTTAGGTGCAATAAAAATCAACAAATCAAAACGGATTTCTGTTCCAGAAATCAATTTCTGGAGCAGAATTAGTCATGTTTTACCAAACAGATTTCTCATCCAGAAATCAATTTCTAGCAAGAATTTGATTTCTAGAGCAGAATGGTTACCATTCGCACCCTTAATGTTTGGAAAAGTTGAGAAAGTGGGTGAAAAGTTGGGCAAATTTTTGAAAATTTGTGGGAGTAAAAGAGAGGGCTTAATTCCAAAAAAAAAACACCAACTTCAGGTCTAGGGACAATTCTGACCCGAACTTTTTTTTGTCCCGTAAAAGCACCAATTTTAGGTCAAAGGATAATTTTGGCCCGAACTTTTTTTTGTCCTGTAAAAAGGCACCAACTTTAGGTTGAGAGACAATTCTGGCCCCAATTTTTTTTGTCTCGTAAAAAAGTACTAACTTTAACTTAAATCCCAAATCTGACCTCCATTGACTTAGAACCATTGATTATCTAACTTGACTATTCCACATTAGCAATAAATCCACGTGGCTTGTTGATTGGATTTAAAGCAATATTTATTATCTTATTCTCTAAGCCACAATTTGAAGAATAACGGTAAAAATGTTCGTCTTCTTCACTTCACTGACAAGTCAAAAATATCTCTAGATTGAATTTCTCTGGCCAAACGTAATCTGAAGCTGACCACCGCCTGTCGACAGATGCCATGGACGAGATTCGCCAAGCTCACCATCATTACGTTCTTTCTCAAACAATGGTGAAAGTTAACAGGGGGCCAGATTTGAGATCATGATGAAAGTTGGTGATTTTTAATGAGAAAAAAAAAAATCGGGGCCAGAATTGTCACTCAATCTAAAGTTAGTGCTTTTTTACAGGACAAAAAAAAGTTCAGGTTAGAATTGTTCCTCGACCTAAAGTTGGTACTTTTTTATAGGACAAAAAAAAGTTCGGGCAAGAATTGTCCCTTGACCTAAAATTGGTGCTTTTTTTTTTGGAATTAGGCCTAAAAGAGAGGGAACTTTAAGAATTTCCCCAACTTCCTCTCCCATTTTTCTTTCCCCGATTATTTCAAACAAAGCATTAATGTAAATGATTTGTCTTTGACAAGGTGAGGAGAAGACCTAATTTAACGCGTAAAAGTTACGAGTACATTGCCGACTAAATTTCCAATTAAAGTGAGCATAAAGTTCCCAAATCTAAGCTATTTACAAAATAACATGAGCAGAAGTGATTAAATGTGTCGTTTTGGATTAGGAAGATGGGGTGAGTTTTCACGACCACCAAAGGCTCCGGCCACAAATTGCAATTCTTAAGACTCTAGGAGTTGAGGCTTTTGGTGTAAATCTTCCATGTGACACTTGTTGTACAAGCCATGCAGAACTTGAGTAGACCAAAAGGGGCTTGAATTAAGAAACCGAAAGAGAGAAGGGGGGGAAGTACACGTGGGAGTCCAACTCATTTGCGTTATCGCTAAGGAAAGAAATGGCCCCACGAAGACTGGCAAATGAAATGGGGCCATATGATGACTTCAAAGGTCTGACCAGTCAAACAAGGCACACCACCACCTCCCCGTCCCCCCCAACGTCTTTAACTCCATCAGCGGTGGCATTCAATTTTTGGGATCGGGAGCGACGACGACGACTTCTTGAATAACTCCAAGAAAAGAAGGAAAGGATACGAACTCCATCCCCCCCTCGCCTACGTGAATGTACAGTAGAGATCTGCAGTTAATGACACGACAGAGAGAGTGGAAAGACCCAGCTCAGGCTCCGTTTGTTTAGCAGAAAGTATGACATTTATAAAAAATAATTTTCTTTTCTTGACAATATTTTTTGGTATTTGATTGAAAGCTAAAAATGAACAGAAAAATATTTTTCATCGTTATGGAAAATCTGATAAATTTTACTAAATAGACATACACTATTCACATGCTAGCAATTTGTGCATGGGTAGCTAGGGAACCGACTATGAGCACTAAAGTTCCGAGCCTAGCCTCGATGGACCGTGACCTGAGTGCCGGGGATCGGGGCACGGGCACTGGGGTCCCGGGCCCAACCTTGATTGATCGGGGCGTGTGCGCCGGGGTACCAGGCTCGGCCTCGATGGACTCAAGCGCACGCACTGGGTCCTGGGGCCAACCTCGATGGACCTAGGCATGGGCATCGAGGGCCTAGGCCTTGGCCTCAATAGACCCTAGCTCAGACACTAGGGACCCGAGCACGGCCTTGGTGAACTCGGGCACGAGTGCCGGGGACCAGAGCTTGAGCGTCAAGGACCTAGGCACGGCCTTTGTGGACCTAGGCCCAAGTGCTGAGGATATGAGCTCGGGTACTGGAATGCCACGCTCGACCTTTGTGAATCCGGACCTAAGTGCCGAGTCATCAGGTACGGCCATCGAGGCTTCAGGCTCGGCCTTGATGGCCCCGAATGTGGGTGCCAGGGGCCCAGGCACAAATGTCAGGGTCCCGGGCTCAATCTCGATAGAGTCGGGCGTGGGCACCGAGGACTCGGTCACGTTTTCAACCTTGGTGGACTTGGGGCTGGGCGTCGGATACCTGATTGTGGATGCCGAGGACCCGGAAACCATCGTTGGGATTTCATGCCCAAGCGTGGAGTTTCGGATTCAAGCGCTAAAACTTAGTCATATTTTAGAAAGTGATTTCCGATTTTTTAAAGACGTAATCATTTTCTTAATTTTAAGTAAAGGTTTTTCAATAACTAGGAAAACGTTTTCCATTGACTCATTTTTCTAATTTAACCAAACACAGAAAAATGAAAAAATTATCTTTCCGAAAAATATTTTTCGTGAAACAAATAGAATCTTGAACCCTATAAGCTGTATTCTTGAATTTGCTCAAAATCATGACTCTGTATCTCAAGGATGATTCAAGAGCTGAACTCAATCTTGATAGCTTTACAGACCAGGTCCATGGACGTCATGGCCCAATGTTCTCTTACCTCTCTCTTTCCGGAGTTATCACATGAGCATCACCCCTGACCACCACAATGTGCATTGGGGAGCTTTTACCTATATTCATCATGTGCTCCTATTGTCCCTCTTCCAATGTACGAGCTTTACTAACTTGATACTCACCATTCACCAATACATTATAACTTTCTCCTTACCTGGATACATACAAAATGACAGGTGAAGCAAGAACAGGACACGGTCTTATAGGGGTCGGACCAAAAACCATTCATGCACATGCTATTTAGTCGTTGGCGCATGTCTTGCCTCAAGTATAAACAATTTGAGAATAATCTTGGAATCAAAATCCAGTCTGCAATTATTGGTCTAGCTTTGATCCGTTATTACTGCGAATGACTTCGGTTGTAACGCTTAATGCCGTGTCGGCAGGCAACATATTAACAATGTGATTTGCTTACTAGAAACCGAAACAAATACCGATGGTGCCTGGAAATTCATAGCTCCATAGAGATTTCAAGAGCTAAAAAGAACCGGTCTATGGTCGTAAGTTTCGTAAATTGGCATGATATCTGCACAACAGATTCACCTCTGCTAGTAAGAAAATCGTTCATGTTAGTATATCACTCAGTCCTATTTTTTCAATCTCTCAACCTAGTGCTTCCTGCTCACTGCAGAGCCTTCTCTCTTTTCTCTTTGGTAAAAGATGGTATGGATTCAGCATTCTAGTGAGGACCCCAGCTTTTGTGCAACTTCACTTGCTGATCCTGAAATTTTGCCAATAGCCCAGGCCCATCACAATCTGCAAGCGGTTTCCCAATTACAACACTTTTCTCCCCATCCTGCCAGGCTATCAGCCATAGATCTCCTCGTACCAACTCCTCTTCAGGTGAGCCAAAAAGGTTAATAAGCCAGAAGCTGAAGGGCCAAATATTGGACCATGCTCTTCGAATCAACCTAAAAAGGAACAATCACTTCGTGATCAAATGCATCCATACAAGAAAACCCTATGCAGACGACGAGATACAAATTAAGGATTTGAAAATCGGACCTGCTCAGCTATTCCTTAATTCATTTTCGGAAAGCTGTTTCCTCAGATCCTTGAGTGCATCTACGACTTCCGAATCAAGATTGTGCTTCAACAGTTTTCCTTGAAAAGAACTTGTCCTAACAAAGTGAAAGATCGTCAATAGGCTTGGAGTCGAGGGAAAATTTCTTCTTTAATTCGTAAATAGAGTTTTCTAAGCAATATCTATGCCCCCAAGTACAGATCATATTGCACTTAAAAAGTACATCAGAAACGAATATTCAATGCGAATGACTTTTGGATATTGCTAAAGGTCAGTCTCAAAGCCTACTGCCAAAAGACTGTTGGATATTGCTGGGCAGGAGAAATCTATAATTAGAGCTAACACCATGAGTTGCCATCACTACAGTTCAACTTCAGCATCTGGGATTATGCAGGCAACAAAAAAAGTTCATATGAAGTTTCTGTTCATTGCATATACCTTTGTTCCTGAAGCATCCTCTCCACTTCCTTGTGATATGTTTTGATCTGCAATTAGATCATATGATTGAGAAATGGTTTTTTGGTGAAATTCTACAAATTAGGATTGCAGAACAAAGTCTTTCTACATTAATCGAAGAATAATTGAGTATATACACCATAAAACAGCACAAACTGCGAATAATTGCATAACCGATGCATCAAATTTTTAACAAAACATCAAGTCCAATATGCTAGATGTTTCTTTAAGATTGAGATTTTCGTCTTATTTGCTAGGCTGACACAATATTTCCTGCCACTTTTCTAATGAATTGCAAGTTCGAATGACAAGCAACTCCATGGAAAATCTTTTCAGAGACATGCGATAGGTAAAGCTAGTGATGAAAAGGCATTGCACTGTGTACAGTGATCCCACTTTGTAAAATTGTTCCACACCACCAATTCGAAGCCAGGACAAAGGAGCAAGAAGGTGCATCAATTATTTGATAGCTGGCACTTCCATTTTAGCGAAGCCCCTATCCTCTACTAGATTTTGCAGGTCGGAAATTGTTCAAAAGCCACACACCACGTGGCCTACTGGAGTAAGATGCGCTAGACCGCTACATACGTGCCCAAGTGTAACGTCCAAAAAAGCAAGCATTCCATTCATTGATGGATGGGTGAGGTTAGTCCATCATACCAGGACAAGTTTGACCACGTGTAAATTGTACCAATTTCCTGGAATCTTGAGCTTCGAGGAAAAAATGCTTGCATAAATGGTATCATAGCACCAGCCGAGTCTAAATCCTAACTCTCACTTTATTCAGTTCATTTGTTACTCCTACCGAGTCTCCAATTATCTCTTCAATGTGATTTACATCCACTTCCTACACTTTGCATGTTGGCTCTGACTTGCACATAAAGGGGAGCCTTCCAAACTATGGTAGATATATTGTTAACCAGTTTCACAACACTTAAACCTTTTGGAGGACAAAATAAATGTCCAAATTTTTTTATGGGGAGTGTTAAAGTATCCCATAATAGTTGTATATGGCGGTCTCAATGGGCCTTATATTCATGTAGTCTCTCTCCACCTATAAACTCAAGCTTTTGGGTTGGACATTCTAACATCCCATCGGAGTCAAGTTTCACCCCAGATTCGTGTTTGGGCTCCTGTTCATCAATTTATTGTGCCTTTCTTAGTCCAGTTTGCACATGCGATGGGGTGTTAAAATATTCCACATCGCTTGCCTTTGAGGTTTCAATGGGCCTTGTATTCATGTTGTTCCCTCTAACTATGAGCTTAAAATTTTGGGTTGGACATTCCAGCAGAGAGAGATAAGAACAACTTGAAGGGCGCCTGAGCAGCAAAATAAAATGAGAATAGCTACCTCAGAAACCAAATAAGTAGCTTCAGGTGGAACAATTTACACCAGGGAAAAAAAAGTAGGCAATTTATGAAAGAGAAAAAAGGGGAAAAAAAAGAAATAGAACAAAAAACTCTGGTTGACACTGCATTACACTAGCTTCAGGTGGAACAATTTACACCAAATAAGTAGGCAATTTTATTATCTTACCTCAGAAACCAATGCTTTGCAACTCCATACAAAGGCTCCCTAAAAGTATCACAGCAAACTATCAGAGGATTCATAGAATAGGAAACACTTACTTAACTATGCCTGCAGTACTTAACAATAAACATCTGATATGACAGAGAGGGCCATATAATATGAAAGACCAAGCTACAAGTCTTAACTACAAGCTCATGAACCACAAGCTGAGAGTTCTCTTCATACGTTAAACCATCAGCCACTACCAATTATTCGTGCTCTCAAAACAATGAGGCTATCAAACAAGAATGAGTTTTTAACTACATTAGCACTGGAAATTAACATGGACCGTGTAAAATATGACATTTGATATATAAAGCATCTTCAAACAACAAACACAAAAAGTTAAGGCTGAGGTTTAAATGAAGAAGAAATTGTGTATTGTCAGATAAAGTTGAGCACTTCATATTTGGGGTAAAACTAAAGGCCTGAGAGTTGCTAAGAAAAGTGAATAATGACACCTACAATGGAACTCACGGGATACATAATGTGTTGGCAAGAAAATCACGGGCTAACCTCTAATCTGCACTTGGATAAAGCTCACGAGTCCACGCATTGTTAGTCAATCAAAATTTGAGTCAGCCCATAATACATGTCAACTTCTGGTGATTTTAGTTCCATAATGTCATTGACGTGATTTACAACTTCTACGAAGTCTAGACATTTCGTTCAGCAAAAGCCAAGAGTACAATTGAATTAATTTGCGCTCACTGTTCAGCTGCATTTTCAGACATATTGTAAGACCCTTAGTTGTTAGAAAAAAGGGTCAGACGGAAGAATCACAAAACCAATTGATGGGCATTGCTCTGAAAATCATAGAAACAACTAAATAGTGAGAACTCGTTTTAACACTAAATGGAAATGCGATAGATGACTTTTTTCTCTTTATCCTCCAGACTGGATCACCACGAACTAAGCTCAATACCATAGATCTTTTCCCATGACCTATCATTCTACCTCCTTTCAACTTTCTTTAGTATTAAATGCATTTTTTCATCAAGTACTCCTTTCATTACTTTGATTTCCCCATTACATTTGTTCCTCCATTGATCTTAACCTCATAACTGTGCTATTTTCTACTATCTTCATCCAAGTTATCACATTTTTCAATGGAATAGGTTGTTCAGCTTCATAAGAAGTCTATCATTTTTGTTAGCATATTACTGGCAATTTTGTTTATTGAGACGTGCATTTATAGAGGACATAGTTAGAGTAAAATCACAAGTAGAAGGCTAATTTAGCAAAACAAAGTTAAAAAGCTTAACTGAATATCTACTTATAGTCAAAGGCCTCAACTGATTGTTGCTCCTTTTTGGTTCCATGATTTTCGTAACAAGAAGTCGATTACTTAATTAGAGTTGAGGCAATTATCAGACTGTTAGAAAGTGAACAAAAGATAAATCACAGAGAAAAGTAGCTTCAAGCATTTATGGTTATCTAAATGAACCTCAAGTATCACGCAATCATTAAGTTTGTGGTAGCTTTGACGGAAGATAATTATCTGAACAGTGTGAGAGGACGCATGGCAGGTCTGTTTAGGAAATTGTGCGTGCTCCTTGAAACATCTTTTGATAATCTAACTCAACAATAACACATACTGCTCCATGCGCTGCTTGCTGCTGCAAGCGATCCGAAGTCACAACCCAAACCCTGGGGCACCCATCTTCCTTCAACGCAACAACCTGTTGCAAAAAACGATACAATGCTTTAAACCTCTTATCAAGAAAGTGCAAGGACAGATAGCGTAGCCTTCAGAACCATCATCTGATAGATCTAATGAGTCGACGCAAAAGATGGGAATAAGAATAAAAAAATGAAAAAGCAGAATACTAGATGACAATCTTACTGATGCTGCATGGTGGCAAACTTTTTGTATTAACACCGATGAACAAATAAAAGCTCATCACCAGTAGATTAAAAAATAAGATAATAACTCCAAAACATCTGTAACTTCTCAACATTTCAACATTGGTTTCGCTGACAGCCAAAGTTAAAAGGCATGCTATGGCAGTAACCTTTGCAAATGCATTTTTTATTACAGCCTAGCATCGTTCTCACCTCTTTCTCTATCCATGCATCTGCACAAGATTCACCGGAGTAAATTATATCAACACTGCAAAATATTGAACTTCAAGCATTAGAGAGCCTAGTTGAGTACCCTGAACTTACATGATCAAATGTAAAAGTATCCTATCGAGGATATAAAAAATTTAGCAACACGCAAAAATTACCATCTATTCCTCGGCAACCAAATGAACTATCATTTGGACAGTGAAAGTAAGTTCTCTCGTGTTTAGTTTGTTTGCCATAGAAATATCACCATCATACATTGACATTTCAATAAGCTAGGAATGTTGTTTTCTTCCTCCCATTTCCTATTTTTGGTTGGTAGCATGGGAAGGTCATACACTGTTGAAAAGAATGAGGAAAAAATACGGCTTTCCAGATTAAATACCATTGAAGGAGCAAATCACTGGAAAAGTAGAGTTTCATGTCTGCTCCAGTCAAAATTGAGAATTTGAGATGCTCTTACTAAAGGCTACATTATCATCATCACATACTAGAGATCAGGTCCGAAAACTCTGATATGGACAAAACAACTAACAGAGTATCTTTGAAAAGAAAAACAAGGTTAGATCATACTGGCGCTAAAGGTGAGGTGAGGAGGTATACCATACCCAATAAAACTTTCCTTGTGTGTTGGAAGTCCTGACATCATGGCATCAAATACAACCACCACCTTTACCTCTGTTATGGAAATGCATAGTAAGTGCCAACTGAAAGAACTTTCACACATGTGCTTGTGCACGTGCACAGAAATGTAAACATGCGGCTGCGCACATAAGAAAAAAATGCATACAGCCCCGGCTGAAAAGTAAAAAATTGGATGGAGTTCTATTCTAATCTTCAAGGCTCCCCATGCATATATCTTTTACATCAATATGTGTCCCTTTCGTTCTTCAGTTTAAATTGCAACGTAATCATGGTATTTGCAGTTACTGAATTATGGCACATCTAGAACTTTGTACCTTTGCAAAAATCCCAAACAATAAAGAAGTGCCTTATGAAACTATTTCTAGCAAGTAGCAAGTCTAGGAAATGAGAAAAAGTAATATAAGATCTCTAAGTGATATGTCAGCTGCCAAAATTAATGGCCATGTGAGGATCCCTCGAGGACTAGGATAACTGAAACAAGGGGGAACGATGGAACTTAGTCCCACTGCTCAATAGAGCTATACTGGTGACAATCTCCGCTAGGTCCATAGGAAACCTGCTGAGTAAGAGAACTACTCTGCAGGTTTTGTCGAAGCAAAGTGGAAAATATTGCACTTGAGAAAACCTAAAAGTCAAAGTCTACGAGATATAATCTTTAAGACCCTGCTTCGCAGACCCTAAACCGAGAGTTGATCATGGCCTTTCAAGAGATGCAATGATATCATCATTGATGTCCTCAAACTTCTTTCAGTGAAGATCATCATAGCCTGGTCTACTCAGCCTATGTCAAATTTCAAAGAATGGCAAAATTAGACTGGTTTATAAGCCTTGTCGTACTGAACACTCAGAGAAGAGGAGCGAAGTACATACCTCGGAGCATGCTAAATGAAACTAGTTCGTTGATCAACTTCTGCCGCGCAATATCTAGTCTGCCACTCACGAAATGTTTCTTCAGCTTTGCCCAATAGCCACACACGTTATAACCATCCACGAGCAAGACAGGTACCGCATCTTCTATACCCTGATTCGTACTATAATACAGTTCAGCAAGAACAGAGCAGCCATCTTCAAAAGGCTGAAAGTTCTACAGAACAGGCTAAATTTAAAAAAGAAACCTGGAAGGAGTATTACTGGTAGAGGGCAAGGGTCGGATCACCGTAGAGCTCCATGTCATCATCCGGAAGGTCTTCCTTCGGCAACTTCTTCCTGCGGTAGCTGGTAGCAGGCTTAGGTATGCCAGAGTTCCTCTTTTGGAAATCCTGCGTGATTTTTACCATATCAGGCAAGACAAGAGGACTGAGACACACCCAGACTTTTCAACCTTCAACATCTTAAAGAAGGTGCATACCTTCCACAGCCTCAGAAACTGCAAATTCTGCTTGACATTCGATGTAATTCTCAGAGGTGTCGGTTCAGAAGCCTATCAAGATAAACCTCAAATGAGGGCACTCTTAAGGAGATGCTCTGGATGGGAACTACAGCAGATTGTATTGTATTCTCTCTTCGAATCAGAATTGCATCGATTGAAATCGTGTGCGTTCATACTGTCTTGCCAAGAATCCTTGGATAACATGCATCTGTCACTATGCCAACCAATGGGCATGGCTTCAAAGCACGAAAATGCAACCAAAAGATCTCACTCGAGCACTCGCCACCTCTCGGAAAAAATAACGAAAGAAGCTGCAACGGCACACCCAATCGGCTCAATTGCGAGAAGGAATGGCGAGGAACCGAACCTGGGATGAAGAAGAAGAAGAAGAAGAAGGAGAAGAGGAGGAGGAGGAGGGCTTCTTCTTCTTCGCCATGACCACGACCAACTTGACGCAGTGCCCGTCCCCGTCGAGTCTCCTCCGGTTGAAGCGTGCGCACATGGCACGACAGCCGGTCAAGCCCGAGTACGAGCACGACGACGAATGAAGAAGCGCGGCGAAATGGGGTGACGACGATGGCGGCGGCGAAGAAGAAGAAGACGGAATCGCTGTCATGGAGAAAAAAAACCCACCACCAATCTTCACGACGAATCAGGCATCTGGGTTCTGCGGATGAAGACGATACATGTACAGTGGAGGGGTCATTTACTCATTCTTGTCCTGCTTCTTCTTCTTCTTCTTCTTCTGTCAGTCCAATGACAGCACTGCCGGAGCCACAGGAGCGACCAACGAAGGTTGAACTGAAAGCGTGAAGTGGTGCAGCCACCCACGATCTCGCCGCCACGTCGCTCGTTTACAGGACAGCTGCCACTGCCACTGCCACTGCCACTGCCTCCGTGTCGGAGTGGGAAGGAGAATGAGAATGAGTGGTCGTCGTTAAAAACAGATGGAGGCCAAGAAAAAATAAATAAAAAATAAAAAACACTCGGAATTTTTTACTAGAGAGGGTCATTTATTTCGCAAAAAAAATAAATAATTTAAAAAAAAGTTAAAATATTAGTAAAATAAATTCATTATCGATGATAATTTATGTTTGAATATTTTCATGAACGATAAAAATATTTTTTATTTTTGTATTTTTATAAGTTATACAACGGAGGTTTTTAGGAAAATATTTTTTAAATCATTTATTTTCAGCCAAACAAATGCACCATAATTATTCGATTTATTATGAAGAAATTTCAATATCGTGAGGTCAACTCGGATCAGTATCATAGCGATGGAAAGAATCCAACTGCATTATAATCTTGGCATCATCATCGCCGTATTGTTTGCATTTAGTACGACGTAGTGGAATGCAATGAATCGCAACAACGATTTCAATACTTTTGCTTGGCATTGCAAGAATGGAATGGGATAGAATCCTAGAAAAGACAATATAGCTCATCGACGAATTGTGAATGAAATGTCACATTCAAATCAAGCATGCCATGGTTATACACGTCAATAGTAAAATTACTTGTGATGCGCACATATAAATAAGCAAAATGCGCGAAAATTGCGCGCCGTTTGAAGAGCATATAATATTAAAGATACATGTTGCTTTAAAATCGCAAAGTATTTATAGACACGAGGTGTGTTGATGGATTTCACATTAATTACATGACAATTTGTTTAGAATTTCAATTAACTCTCTCTCTCTCTCTCTCTCACAGACATCCACAATCATCAATGGTTAAAATCCAAATCAAAAGCAATCAATTTTCAATTTCTTATAAAACTCATATCAAAGACCAATCTAACTCCTCACTCACTCTCTTCTCTCTCTCTCTCTCTCTCTCCAAGTACCATCCTTATACCATAACCCATCCCCGATCACCCCCCCCCCCCCCCCCCGGCCGGCGGAGGAGATGGAGACGACGCCGGAGCCGACGAAATCGGGGGCCGTGCTCGTCAGCGGCGCCAACGGCTTCATGGGCTCCTGGCTGGTCCGCGCCCTCTTGGACTCCGGCTACGCCACCGTGCGCGCCTCCGTGTTCCCGGGCACCGACGCCTCCCACCTCTTCTCCCTCCCGGGGGCCTCCCCTTCCCGCCTCCTCCTCTTCGAAGCCGACGTCCTCGACGCCCCCGCCGTCGCCCGGGCCGTCGACGGCTGCGAGGGCGTCTTCCACGTGGCGTCCCCCTGCAACCTCGAGGCCCCCGAGGACCCCGAGCGCGACCTCCTCCTCCCCGCCGTCCAGGGCACCCTGAACGTGCTCGAGGTCGCCGAGCGGTCCGGCGTGAGGCGCGTGGTCCTCACGTCCTCCGTCTCCGCCTTGATCCCCAACCCGGGCTGGCCTCCTCACAAGCCCTTCGACGAGTCTTCCTGGACCGACCTTGACTACTGCAAGTCTCGCCAGGTCATAAAGTTTTTGTCCTTTTTTTTTGTTTTGATCGCAGTTTGGAAATTGAACGATCCCCTTTATTAAAAATGTCAACTTTTTTCTTTCGGTCTTGTTTTGGCGTGCAAGAATGCGTTAATGGAACAATCGTGCAGCATTTCGTGGTCATATGAGGTCTGAACGAATTCAGTCGTTGTATAGTAGCTATTGCATTCAGAACACTTGCGTAGAATTTGTTAGAGCTCCAGGGTACGGTGTCATGAGCTTCCAGTGGAAGAATTATGGGTCCACCTCTGTTTACGTAGTTCAATGCATTCGTTGCCATGACACGCATAAAAATTGGGTTTCCTTACTTTATCATGCAGAAATGGTATCCGGTGTCGAAGACTCTGGCGGAGAAGGCGGCATGGGAATTCGCGGAGAAGCACGGACTAGATGTGGTCGCGATAAACCCGGCCACATGCCTTGGCCCTCTATTGCAGCCGGGTCTCAACGCGAGCAGTGCCGTGCTGCTACAGCTGCTTCAGGGATCGACAGATACACAGGAGTTTCACTGGCTCGGGGCTGTTGACGTTAGAGATGTGGCCAAGGCACAAGTCTTGCTGTATGAGACACCGGCTGCGTCCGGTAGGTATCTCTGCACAAATGGTATCTATCAGTTCGGTGATTTTGCTCAAAGGGTCACGAAGCTCTTCCCTGAGTTTCCTATCCACAGGTTTGCATCTTCAAAGCTCCTAGATGTTACTCGATTGGTCTTTAAAGAACTCTTCTTATAGCTCTTTGCCTATGCTTCTAGTGAACCACCGACACAAATGATTAGTAGTGTTTGAATATATTAGGAAACATATTATTCTATTGCAGTGGAGTACGGCATCCAGTATCCTGCATACTGAAAGCCCATTTGTTCTCCCTAAGATTTTTCTTTAGTAATTCTTTGCTTTCACACTTTTTATACAGCATAATGCACCTCACTTTAGTTGCTCAGAGTGGTGATGGGTTTTGTAGAAATAGCCTGGTGAAGGAAGATGATGGAACTTCTGATGGTTTGCTTTTCGATATATGTCGGGAACCTATATCAATTATCCAGTTCCAGTGCCTCCGTGGTTGGACTCATTAGAAATTACAATCATTCCTGCCAATTGAACATCTTGCATCTTGATAGGCTGTGGAAGCAATGACGGATTGGGATTTGGTGACACACATGTATCCTGGTGTCTGATTTTTGCAAGTAACTGAACATGGGACATGTGTACTCAGCATTAAATAATCCAATTTTGGATATTAACAAATTTTATATGAAAAAAATATATATAATGGCTAGTCTGGATTGACTTTATCTTTTTACTTTTCCTTTATTAAAATATTGTGGCTCACGCCCTTTTAATTTTTTTTTTTTAAATCTGAAACACTAGAGACTTTCACAAAGTGCAAAAGTTGACATGTAAATCCACATATAATTTTTTGCAATTTGAATAATATTTTTAATCTTGGCAAGTTGTTGTTACTTTTAGTTAAGCTGAACTAAACATGCCCTAACATAATCGAGAAGTCCAATTCTCTGGAATTAGAGTTTGCGAAAGTCTACAGCTTTTTAGGACAGTTTTGTCTTCTTTTCAAAATTTATGATGCTTCGTCTTTGAACTTCTTGCACGGTGGTTTCGTGCAATAGTAGCTCTATACCAGAATATCAAAACATGGCATGCTTGATGGCGAAGTGTCTTTTAACACATGACCATGTCTGTGTTCATGTCGCATCTCCTATGATACTTTGGCCTCAACTACCATTTGCTAACGTTATTCGACGTTTCCGTTAGTACGCTTTTGTTATTTTCCCAAGGATCTAGTATCCTGGAAGATAGGCTTTGTGCTCACTATCTGCTCCTTTCTTCTAATTAGTTCCTCACTACTTTGGTATATGATGGTTTTATTGGCAGGAGCCTAAAGTGGACATTGTCTATCACATGCGTGCTCACTTTTTTTTCTGTAGATTCTCTCCTTTGGCATCATCACTGTACAGTTCGTATTCTTGATTAAGTCTTGTTCTAGCTTCTTATACACACTTCCAACTTCTTGAAGTCCTCATTGCCCCTGATTGGGTTTGAGAAAGTATTATTCATCTTTCAGAGGTTGTGCTATGGCAGATAGAGGTTTTTACTTAATTGCAGACGTTAGTTTTAACTAAAACAGGTTAGCATGATTGTAGAATCAACAGCTAGCTGATGGTTATGTAATTTAACGAAGTCCTGTACATTTGGCATTCCACAAAGCTGATCCTTCATTTTTTAGTTTTTGTACCAAATGGAAGAAAACAGAATATATGTATTTCACCATCCTTGATTCAATGAGGAACCAAATGGGATGTAATGATACCTCTGCTGTTCAAATGGCAACATAAAGTAAATCTTTATTCCTTTTTTAATTTCTTCAGAGTGCTACTAATGCCTTTGTCCTGTTGTTGGATAATGTCTATTTACTTTTATATTGAATCCTTCTTCCCTCAATCAAGTCATCTAGATGTAGCTTTCTCTTCTTGTATGTAAGGCAGCATTACCAGTCACATCTCTTGTTGCACAGGTTTACAGGAGAAACCCACCCAGGTATGGCAGCGTGCAAAGATGCAGCGAAGAGATTGATCGATCTGGGGTTGTCCTTTACACCTCTTGAAGATACCATCAGAGATGCGGTCGAGAGCCTCAAAGCAAGAGGCTACTTGCAAGGATAATCACAATGTTGGGGGTTTTTCTTTTTTTTTTATTTTGCTAAACTAAACTAATTTGCAGTGTCTTGGTTTGTCTGTTGTTTTAATCCCTTGGTCCTCTGAGCAAACGAGTAAAGGTGCTTTCGTAATCATAAGTTTAAACTTCTTTGCAGAGTGTATTTATTCTTAGAAATCATCCCCTCTTTTGGTTGCACATGCAAGGGCAACTTGTATTGCAGTCTTACAGATAAAAGATTCTGCATCTACAGACAATGAACATTCAATAGCAATTTAACAGGGTCTCTACTGCTAACATGTGCCTACGAAGAATGTAAAGAGATAACTTGTCGTTTTGGTGTATGTCTGACGGGAAACTGAATATGATTTTGTACAACTGTCTTGTAACGTTGTGCTGAAATGGTATGTTTCTAGTGGGGCCATGTTTGTGCATCTCTCAGAATTATTGAAAAGGATATCATTCTTCTATATTCTCACAACAGAAAAGATTCAATACAAGTACAGCGAGACTGAGAAATCAATCACAATTTACGAAAGGCGTATATTTCATTTTTTAGTGCGCGAGTTATTATAGATTATACCTTTCGATACTGTCATTTGCTCGGTCCATGCGAGTTGAGCGAGGGAGATGTGAATGGCCGCGGCCAAGGCACATGTTGGAGGGGCCAAAGCAACTTAAATGTGGCTCTGGATTTGGGGGTCCTTTTATCTCCCGGCCAATCTTCTGGCTGTTTTGCCCAAAGAAAGCAGCACTCCATGTGCATCGTCTCCCCCCATATTAGCCTTTTTGCAACAAAGGAATCTGTCTTTTATCCATACCTGTCATCTGTGAGAGTGTGTGAGCGCGCGCGAGAGAGAGAGAGAGAGAGAGAGAAATAAGGAATATTAAAATACTTTTTTCATTTTTCTGTTTGTTTCTTCGGAGGGGTAAAAACATAGCATGTAAAGAATATCTAAGATGGTTTCGAAAGGAGGGAGGACGACCAGTGTGTGAGAATAATAATGGGAAGTGGGGAAGGGATCAGCATCTGAGCTGAGGTGATTGCTGCACATGACAAAGCCAGATCCCCACCATTTCTCACGTTCCATAGTACCATCACAATCTCTTTCTCTGTCTGTCTCTCTCTCTCTCTCTCTCTCTCTTTGAAAAGGCTATTGGTCTACTACTCTTGAGGACTTGGTATAGTTTGAGGTATCAAAGATCTTCAAAAGAAAAAGAAAGGAGTTGGTTGGGGAGGTAGGAGTTGCTTGATGCCACCAGAAATGAGCAGCCCTTCTCCTTGTACCACATCCTGGTAAGGCACAAAAAACCACTCTTTTATTTTCACTGTTTCATTCCAATCAGGAGTGTCTATCATCATGTTTCCTTCTCTCTGAATAAGCTTCTCTTTTCTGAATTGTTGCTGCCTTTTCCTCTGTACTTGAAAACTAAAAAAAGGTCCATAAGTGAGGAGTCGTTGAGAAGGTACGTGCGCTTCGCAAGTGACAGCTGCATCCAGGAGTTGCTCTCGGCTTCGGTTGGGAATGACGGGTGGAAGGCTGTTACGGTGAAGGGTGATGGAGTGGAGATATCGAAATGCAGGAGCGGTCCTCTTCACACCTTCCGCAGCCGCTGGCTCCTCAAGTCCCTCTCGCCCCACCAATTCATCACCGTTGCCACCGCAATCGACGCTGCCAAGGTAACACGATCTCCATCACTTAAAACTAGTACAGAGCTAAATGGATTCTGGGTTTGCAAGTCTTCAACCAGAACTTCGACATTGAAAAGTTCAGTTCTGTCTACGAGCTCAAAAGGCTGAGATGCTCTTTCTCATAGCCCTTGAGGATTTATAAAGAAGTATTGCTCCATCTATCAGATAATTTTATTTTCTATTTTTGGCCGTCTCATCATTTTCTTGTGACATTTACAATTGGCTGGAATTTCTATGTTGATTTTGATTGAACCAGCAATGGGACTCTGATTTGGTGGAAGCCCGGTACATAAAAGATGTGGAAGATAACCTTAGCATTATCGGTCTCAGGTTCGGAGATAATTCTAAGCCTCTCTTCAGAAACCGCGAGTTCATTGTCTATGAGCGCCGCGAGACCATGGAGGACGGCACTCTAGTAAGAAAATTTCCTCTGTCCCAATCTTTAAATAGGGTTCTCGCCAATTCAGAAGTTAATTGGTTTTTATGGATTGAAGGTGGTTGCAGTGGCTTCGTTGCCAAAAGAAATAGCAGCTGGGTTGCACCCGAAGCAAAACAATGTGATAAGAGGACTACTTTTGCAGTCAGGCTGGGTTGTTGAGAAGCTCAATGACGATTCCTGCGTGGTCACATATGTTATTCAGGTAGGCCTTACATAATTGCCATATTATACCCAATATGCTAGTACCGAAGCCAAAGATTCAGTATCACAAATTGTCCACTGCGTCCTATTAACGCCTCCCTTTTTCGTTTATTGCAGTTGGATCCCGCAGGATGGTTGCCCAAGTTCTTTGTGAACCGGATCAACACGAAGCTGGTGATGATCATTGAAAACCTCAGGAAACTGGTAGCTGCCGAGGCTTAAGACAATAGGATCTCTTTGTGTAACGTGTGGAGTGAGTGTTACAGTTGGTTGATGCCAAGAGTCCATATATGCATATAATTCCATAGCGGAAAACCCAGAGTTGCAATTATGCTTGACCATGCTGGCCGACAGCAGTTTCAGTGCCTTGTCCTGCATCCTATTTAGAAATGCAAAGATTGCAGCTGGACATTGCCTTGAATTCTCCTTTTAATTTCAAGAAACCATAATAGAATAGGCCAAGGTACTGAATTGAAGGCTGTTTCCTTTGTGAGGTGGTCCTCCCTGAGTAAACTATAACCAATGGGACTTGACCCATGCCATGTGAACAGATAATAAGGTCAAGGACCCCAGTTCATCGTCTAGTAGGGGTTGCTTTAGACAAAATCGAAAACACCCTTTTAGTTTATTCGTTCATTTACCTTTCCAGGACCAAATCCACTAGGAAAAGCAGAGCGCGTCGCACGGTGTACCGTGTTCTATACTACTGGACAAGTTTTCTTCCACTTCTGTTGCGTAGTATTAACGTCCCTTTTGAATAGTACCTACATTGCAGCCGAACATCCGACGTCTTTCTGCTGACAAATGATTTCCTTATTGAAAGTTGAGGAAAGCTGCCACTAACTTGAGCCAATGGAAAGACATCTTCTCCCATTTGATTGGCCCTTTCTCGAGGATCCACCTTGTCAGGCTCATTTTTTTAGTTTAAATTATACACTAAAATTCCAATTTTTACTGGCCTGGTCAAGTCAAGTCTGATAAAGAGCGTTAGAAGAACTCGTCACTCGAAGCTTTTCTCTGGGGCGAGAGTCCAAGCTTTGAATGAATTTCTTCAAGTTTTGGTGCTATCCTGGCTACAAGTTTTCCACTTCTGAAGTGTTTTAACAACTTTTGATCTTGCTCAGAGGTAGAGGTAGCCCTTTCCTAAGGCGGACCGTACTCGGGTGCACCAAGATCGTAAAGAGCCTAGCACACCAAAACCGTTAGATCAGTGGAATCGATCAAATTCACGGGCCATGATAAAATGGGCTCATTATGGACTAGTTCCTTCGTGAACTCTTGCCCTAGAGTAGTCTTTTCTTCTACCTATCAAAAAACAAGAAAAACTTCCCTCACCAAGTCTACCATGAGCAACCCTTTTCGACAGTAGGTTGAGGGCTCTGCTTGAGAAAATCACCACTAAAGTCAGCCATTAGGTAAGAATATGAAGTGTCAAGTTATTATAGTTTTTGTAGTACATGGGTTCCCATGGAAGTGAGTGAATGCTATTGGATCAAGGCATGTGATTAACCTAACTCATCAACGCCTAGCATGTGACGACTTTTCTCACCATAGAAACAATCCAGCATTCTACATATTATGATCAAAAAGTTAATCTATATTGCACAACTACCTATGATTTAGGGGAGAAATTACTCCAAAAGTTCTAAACCTTTTGTGCGCAGAATGCAATCCAGTCTTAACATTTCAATGAAAACCAATGTAATCTTAAACCTTTGCAAGAAAATGCAATCAAGCATTTGTGCCAGTCTTGGGCAGGTTTTTCTTACGTGGTAGTCCAGTCACCTTTTTGGTTCAACATGTCACGACAACTTGGTGGCGTGGCTGGTGCTTAAATGAAATGAGGTGATTTCAATTTTGTCCTCATTGGAATTCCCTATCTTCTCCAATTGATGCTGGACAACACCTCCGACATCACCGCCCGGCCCCACCAATGCATTCCACAAGCCTCCAACGTCACAATGATTGGACTACCGTGTAAGAAAACTTGGCGACACAATTGGCCGGGAGGACTTGATTGAATTTTCTCGCAAAAGTTTAGGACTTTATTGGTTCAATTGAAAGATTAAGGATTTGAGTATGTCCCGTGCAAAAGGCTTAGGATTTCAAGAGTAATTTTCCTACGATTATGATAATGTACTATAACTTACTTTTGAAGGCGCGGGGGTGCCGGGGTCCCGGGCCCATTCTCTGAGGAAGGGCATGGCATACACTTTGACCAAACACATGTACAGAAACGTTGGACATTGCTAGTACTGTGGAATTTGAAAATTCCTATGAAGTATTCTTGTAGCAGTGCACGATCATGATGGGCATCTAAATCTAATGACCGTGTCCGTGCTGCGCCCGATTGATATCACAATGGCAGCATTTCCCACAAGGAAGCATTCGGGTCATGATTAGCAATCCACGGACGAGGAATCTAAGGAACAGGATTTACGAGAGTAATTGTCCATCTCATTCCTAATTATTGCACGAGGTGTCTGCAAACCCTAGAATTGCATTCTTTAGGCGAATGAACCAAATGGGTCCTATGAATGGGACCTGGCAAAATGAAATGAGTATCTATAGGGTCGAAACAGGATAATTATCCAAAGGTTTAAACTTATAATACGGATGTCAATTTAGTTATAAACCTTTCAATTTAGCTAATTTAATCGTAAACCTTTTAACGATTTGGCAATATAATCCTTCTGGCCGATTGTGGTTGGAAAATCGCTGACGTGAACTATTTTTGCAATATTTTAAAAAAGAAATTATGTATTTTTTATTCTTTTCTTTTTTATTTATAGCCAGCGAGGGCAAGGGCCGGCAAACCCTTACCATATTTGGGCAAGGCCACGAAGACCTCGCTGGCCACAAGAAAGGCGGCCCTAGCCTAGATCTAGCAGGGCCACGATTAATAAATTGCAAAAATTATCTAAGCCGGTGCTGGCCGTTCCACATAGGATAAATGACGTCCACGTCAACGATTTTTAGCCAAAATTGGTCGAAAGAATCATATTAGCAAATTGTCAAAATATTTAGTACTAAACTGGCCAAATTAAAAGGTTTATGACTGAATTGGCATTCGTACAATAAGTTTAAGACTTTTGATAACATTCCCGAGTCGAACCCATCTTGCCTTTGTGCACACATGAAAGCTTAAATTCGCGAGAGCATATGATTACATTATGCACCTTAATAGTCACTAGCTATTGGCATTTGGACAAGGCTATTAGGTTATAGACTTAGCTTGCGGGTGAAGTTGTGAACAAAACGAATCCAGGTGTAGAAACTATAAGGAAACTCCGTTTTCTTTAGCGGAACTCGATGTTGGTCACATAAAAGGGTTCTTAAAATATGAATATAGTGCATGGGAAACTTTGGAAAGCAGATGGGGAGTGCAGACTCAGGAGATGAAAAGAGTATCTCTTGATGGAGTAATTCAAGGAGAGTTGACAATTTGGGTTAGCACTGTAATGCATTTGGTGGGAGTGATGAGATTTAGATCCCTTATCATCTATTTCTCTTCTTTCTTTATCATTTGGTACAATCACCGTTGTTCTTTCTCCATTTTAATAAGCTGATCGCACGCCCCAAACGCCGGATCACAATGAACGAAGGAAGTCGCATGGCACTGGATCCATCAAAGTTTCCTTTCTTAAATGGCCTCGTTCTGCGTGCGTTCCCCTTGAATACACTTCACTTCACTCCTTGCTCTCACTCACGCTCTCACGTCACTTCACTTCACTTCACTTCACTTTCTCTCGTTCTGTCAAAAGGGGAAGAGAAGAGGAAGAGAAAGAGAAGAGAGATTCATAATATCATCAAAGACAGCCATGGGAGCTGTAGACAGTCCGAAGAAGCAGTCCTACTATCACCCGCCGTCTCCGAGGGCGGCCGCGTTCAAGTTCAAGCTCAAGATGGCCATGCTGGTCCTCCTCACCAACCTCCTGACCCTCTATCTTTTCTCCTCCGCGGGGCCTTCTCGCTTCGACCTTGGCCTCGGCCGCCTCTCTCTCCCCATCGTTTGGGACGCCAACGCCTCCCTCGTGGCCCACCTCGACTCCACCCGCGCCCAGGTCGCCGCCACCCACTCCCGCCTGGCCGACTTGCACCGCCAGCTCGCCTCCTCCAACTCCCTGGTCGAGGCTCTCCTCGTCGAGCTCGCCCGCTCCGGTGGCCGCCCACAAGACGGCTTGTCCATTGGCCCGGCTAATGGTGATAACCTGCCAGACGAGCTGAAGCTGGCCGTGGGCCCGCACAAGCTCCCGCTCGGCTACTCCCCGAGGATGGGGTCTGACATGGTGCACCCGCCGGTGGGGGTCGCGTGCTTGAGGTTCAAGGAGGAGCTGGCTCAGTACATGTCGTACGACGTCGGGGGCGAGTGTCCCGTGGACGACGTGTTCGCGCAGCGCCTCCTGCTCAAGGGGTGCGAGCCGCTCCCGCGGCGGAGATGCCACCCAAAATCTCCTGCCAACTATGTGGAGCCGACCCCGTTCCCGCAGTCCCTCTGGACGCCGCCACACGATTCGAGCATCGTGTGGGACGCGTACACCTGCAAGAGCTACAAGTGCCTCATCGACCGCAACAAGCAGCCCGGTTACTTCGACTGCAAGGACTGCTTCGACCTTGCAGGTCGAGAGAAGCACCGCTGGATGTACGACAACGGCATCCTCGACTACGGGATCGACCAGGTCCTGGCCACTAGGCCCCGCAGGACGGTGCGCATCGGGCTAGACATCGGGGGCGGGAGCGGGACGTTCGCGGCCAGGATGAGGGAACGCAACGTGACCATCGTCACGACCACGATGAACTTGGACGGCCCGTTCAACAGCTTCATCGCATCCCGAGGGCTCATCTCGATGCACATGAGCGTGTCGCAGAGGCTGCCCTTCTTCGAGAACACGCTGGACATTGTGCACTCGATGCACGTGCTGAGCAACTGGATCCCGGACACGATGCTGGAGTTCACGCTGTACGACATATACCGGGTGCTGAGGCCGGGCGGGCTATTCTGGCTCGACCACTTCTTCTGCGAGGGGCCGCAGCTGAATGGGACGTATATGCCGATGATCGGCCGGGTCGGGTTCAAGAGGCTGAGGTGGAACGCCGGGAGGAAGGTAGACCGCGGGCCGCAGAAGAACGAGTGGTACTTCTCTGCCCTCTTGGAGAAGCCCATGACATGACTCCATGCTCTACACAATCCTTAGATCGACTAGGTAGCTTCCTTGTGTGCATCTTCTTTGAGCATTACTTGTTGTATCATCATTTGGGGTATGCAACGCCGACAACACAGGTTCAATCATACACTCCAAGGAGTTTTAACTCCGCTGAAATTTTGCGATTTCTTTAGCTTTTGAATGGAACTGCACGGAGTACCAATGAATAAGATAATAGATTGGATATCGGATTTACGTTATTCGATCTGTTACGTTCCCTCGTCCTGGTCGCTTACGTCCCACTCCCTCCCCCAATCCCGGTTTGATTCGCGCATTCTGCACACAGAAGGCACGGAGACCCCACTCTGCAACACTCAGCGTCTGACGACTTGAGAAACGCGGTCGCAAAGTCCAATCAGGACTTTTTCGTTATACGGCCAGACTTTTTCACACTTCAACTTGGTCCGGTTTTCATCCACGAAGCCAAATTTGAGAGATATTTCAACAAATCTTCACCTCGACTCGATATTTGAGCCCAATCTCAATCACTTGGTCGGAGCGGCAATTGATTTTCACTGTAGCCATGGACCGTACTAGAGCATCAACTCCACTTGTATTTTTAGCTATTCCATAAAAATTTTCAAACACAATCTCCCCCAATCATAAATAAATAACAAAAACCGCAAAAACAAATGTTGCCTCTAAATCTATTGGGAGGTCAAACACGTTAGCTCTACAAATTGCATCTCGCTACAAGCACATTCTACGCCAATTACGGCGCAAGTACCCGCGATCTCAGAAGATTTTTATTGCAAGACTATCCATATGTAAAAGATATAGATAGAGATACGTATTAGGGTCCAATGGCTTTTGGGTCCTAATGTATCGACAAGGCCCAAAACGTAGGAGAGACCACCGTGTGTATATTCATGGAGGCCCGAGGCCATCGAGGCCCAAGGCCCACTAGTGTTCCTCAAAAGCCCACACCCCAAGATATCACTAATTACACCGTCGACTCAACGTGCAAAAAAAGGATAAAGACACAAAGAGTCCCCGAACTTTAGCTCAATATATAATTTGATCTCCGAACTTTTAATTTGTTCAATATAGTCCCTGAACTTCAGCCTAATGTTTAATGTGATCCCTGAATTTTAATTTGTTCAATATGGTCCCTGGACTTTTGGTACATATTCAATTTAGTCTCTGAACTATATGAAAATGTTCAATGTAGTCCTTCCATTAATTCAAGTTCATGGATTATATTGAACATTTTTATATATTTCAGGGATTAAATTAAACATGTACCAAAAGTCCATGGACCATATTGAACAGATTAAACATTAGGATAAAGTTCATGGACTATATTGAACAAATTAAAATTTTAGGGATCAAATTGTACATTGAGCAAAAGTTCAAGGACTGTTTGTGTCGTTTTCCCTACAAAAAAAACAACTAGCATCTTTCTCCCTGAATTCAAAAGCACCCACGCCTTGGTCTGCATCACAAACAGCTTGCTTCGCCACTCCCAACGTACACGGGCGCGTGACATTGGCAACAAAATCAAGAGCTTCGTCGGAACTTTGTCAAGAAGGTAAACCGTCGTGCGACTCGTCGATAGAGATTTGGGGGACTAAGCAAACTGAAACGACCACACACTGATCACGGGCATTCGATCGTGACCGACCAATGGTTATTGTGACTGATCGATAGTGCCAGGGCAACCGACGAGCGACGATCGAGTCAATTTTCGTCAGAGTAGATGAGGGAGGCCTTCATAGAAAAGAGGCCTTTTCAAAGTACACACATTACGGGCATAAGTAGTCTTTGTGACTAGAGAGCAGGGGTGATCGGTTCCAGGGTGGGTAGGTTCTACATCTAGAATCTATCCACTCTGTTAAAATTATTTTCAATTTTTGATACTTAGAACCTATCTGTTTGCCTTGAAATTGACCTTGGAACATACCTTGTTTTTCCGGTCCAGTTCCATGATCTAACCGAGAACCTATTTTTCGTTTGTACCTTTTTTTGGTTTCATTTTTTACCACAAAATAATATGCGTAATAAAATGGTTCATAGTAAAAGATGAAAGAGCGTGAGCAAGCAAAAGCGAGTGAGGAACGAGCGAGGGTTGCGAGGCTCGAACAAGTGAGGAGGAGGGTGAGTTGTGAGAGAGTCGTCACGTGTATGAGTGAGGCTATAGAGAACAGAAAAACAAAAAAAGAGAGAGAGAAAATATGCCAAGATAAAAATTAGGGTTTTTAGGATTTATGAAACTGGATTCAAATTCAGTTCGATTCCCAGGTGATTCTTCACACGGAATTGGGAACTAGATCGATTCTTATCGTTTTCAAAAATTTGAAACAAGGATCCACACCGGTTTTCAGGACAATCTGATCCAGTTTTCGAATAAAATCGGCCCAGTTGCACAGCCTTAGTAAAGAGCATTCTCATTCGCATAACATCCGATGCTGGGGGGACCAAATTTAGGTGGCTTGCTCCGCCAATTTTGACCACGTTGACTAGCAGATTGGCTTCAAGTATTTCTCCACGATAAGTGATTATAATATATAGCGTGACCAATACAAAAGTCCCATGTGAGATCTTTTCACAGGTTCAACTGCTCTTATGCTTCACGTAAAGGGAGAAGAACCGGAAACAACAATTATTTAGCGCACTGATCTCAAAGTAGCTTCGAATTCATAGGTGAAAGCGTTAAAACATGTCTTTAATCCTTCTCCTACTTCCATAGCAAAGATGACTATAATATGCATTACAATTCATTACTCACTTTCTTAAGGTGATTTGTTTCGACCGTAAAGGTTCACGAGTTGTCTAAATCTAAAGTTCGTAGCATATTAAATCTTGCAATTGGCTTCATTAGAATATGTTTCGGGCTTTAGCCTTGTGCGAGCACAAATTGTACCATGAAATTTTAGTAATTGGAAGCAGCCTGACCGAAGAAGAACAATAGAGAACTTTGACGTGATGACCATTTAACATAAGTAGGAAAACTTTTTCTAGATGACGAAATTAGTTATGCGAAATAAGCAAAATAATTAGTAGGTGGAACCAATTTTGAAAATGAATTTTAACTTTTCGATGTGAATATTTATATCCGGAATCGCTTTTACTTTTAACCGATTCTATTAGCCGATATTTTTAGCTTACACATTGGTCCGAATATCCATCCTCTTCAAAAGATGGGCGCCTATAGTAAATATATTTCGCATAGGACATTCAACTTTGACTTACTAAGATGTCAAACCTCAACTAAAAACTCAATTTTGGTCAACACAATTGGCTTGTGGTCGAGTTTTTCAAACGCCAAATCTTGGATAAACTTTTTCACAACGTGGTTTCTTTGACTCCATTATATTATCACAAATTTATTTGAGGGCACACCTCCAAAGCTGACCAGGGAATAACATATACAGATGATATTATATAATTTGGTAACTGAATCTTTTGTTAATATGCAAACCCCACTCCCCACATCAACAATTTGGTAATTGAATGTATATGGAAGAGGAGAGAAGTAACAATCCACTAAGAATAAATAAGAATGAAGAAAGAAATTCATGGAAAATACTTGAAAAGAAATGGAAGCCCAGTGCACATAATGTGTTTCAGCCTCTCTCACATACATAGAATCTTGACATGTGTTTCTTTAATGTTCGACTTGTGTTTCATTGCTACAATAATGGCAAACACTTTTATCATCCGGCATGTGATCTAAAGTTACGCTACATAATGTAACAGAGAGGCGATGATCTACTCGAAAGCCATCGGCCCGCTCAAGCACTTCAAGGCCAATTAGCCTTAAGGGTAAATTCGGCAAGTTTGGGCAAGCAATTCCCTTCTTAGGTTTCGCTTGCCCAAGCTTGGTAAATCAAACATAGAAAATCAATCCGACCAAAAAAAAAATATAGAAAATCATTCAGAGGCTTGGATAATAATTTTTAGGTTTGGCCAATTCACTGATCGGGTCTAGTCTTCATCTGACAACATGATCTACCTTTCTATGTAAAATATTATTACAAAGTCTTCTCGAAGTGTTGCCTTAAAACTTGTCGCTTAAGATTATAGATTGCCAGAATGGGTCTCTCCTCGTTATGGAAAAAAGATCTTAGTGCACTTTCCATAAAAATAGCTGCTACCTAGACATGCATTACATTATGTCCATGCCATTAATATTCATTTTAGTCATATTATAAGGGTATTACTATTACATGGACGTTCATGATAGACATTTAGAGTCCCCAACATCAACCATTGAACTATAAAAAAAAAATACGTCCATAAAAAAACTATCAAATACTCAATATATGTTTCGTTTCAAACTGATATTACGTTAAATGTTTCTAGTTTGGTAGTTTGATTAGTATGTTTCGATGATTTTATCACAATTATCTAAGCATTAATGAAAGGAGTAAAACGAAAGAAATATCAATTTCTTTTTTCAAGTCAATTAAGCAATTTAAAGATGTATTACAGAGACTCGAAAGTTCATCTTCTTTCTTTGTTTAAATATCGTCAATTTTACCTTACAATATAGAACGAGGATAGAAGACACATACTAGCATAGTTTTGACTTCCGACGGGCATTACGGCTCATCTTATTCTTACAATAATAGTTTCTCTGTTGATGATTTTGCAGGGTACCGTTCTTTGACCCATTTTTGTGCCTGTGAACTTGACCAAAGCACCACTAACTACTTTATATTCATATATTTGCACCGTCACACAAGTCCTGGCTACCAAAAAGTCGGGTACAAACGCACAAAATCTTGGCAAGTTGGCTGGCTTCTCATATCTTTCTTTAATTGCTCTCCGGAGGAGACGCATGTGGAGTTGGACTTTTTGCAGAGTAAGGCCAAAGGACGGTTGCAATACAATACAAACTTCTCAATGCCCGTGGACTATTCGAGAAGAAGGTACCAATGGGTGGAGATTGAGTGCAAATCGGATTGGAAATTCCAAGAATGAGTTGTCATTCTTTGGAACGACGTACTTGAAGGGTCAGCATCTGGTTTTCACTTCTCGAGACACGTCCTTTTTTTTTTTTTTGGGTCTTTTTTATAGCTAAATCCCAAGTCAAAGTCTGTCCACTGTTCATTTCCTGTTTGGCTGTAAACTGTTAGCTGTTTTGAAGTTCTCGTATTTTTGGGAAATTTGCACTTCGGGCATTGCAGTCAAAAAGTTTAGTGGCTTGAAGTTAAATGTTCATGCTGATTCACTTTCTACTGATGAGACTACCGATATCGACTCTAGGGACTTAGAAATGTACATTCGGTGAGTTTAATCAGGGGTCGTCGTTCGTTCGATTTTGTATGGAAACGTAGGGTGTACTAAAAGTCCCATCAATGCAAGGTACAAGGGACAAGAATTGGGGGAAGAAGAAGACAAAGCATGGACACCAAAACCGCAAGCAGCAAAATGTGAAACCTACCCTAAACCTTCTTAATAAAAAGACAATGTTCCTGTCCAGTATCAAACCACACCAGAAAGGAACTGAGAGGAGTCTCAGTCCTATGTAAAGCTCCCTCCCGTTCGAAGGAGCTTTCGAAATTGGGAGGCCTTTGCGTAGGTGGAGGAGAACAGAAATGAAGGGCGAAAGCATGTCGTTGTTTGGAGATGAAGGTAACCCCTCGCTCCTGATACCCCGGCGGATCGCATTTTGGGAACGTGAATGAATCTTGCATGCCCAAGTTCACTTCCTTGAACCGCATTCCACCCCGCCTTTTTCGCTCTCCTTTATACGCACACCCCTTTCCTCCTCTTTCTTGGCTCCTCCTGACCCAACTCTCTCCTGTCTGCCCATCAGAAGCCGAAGCAGAAGCGGGCTTCACTCGCGGCGGGCAAGATTCGCGAGAAATGGCGAGCGACGAAGACTACGCGAAGAAGCAGGCGAGCCAGAACCAGCAGTCCAGGAAGTTCAAGGTGTTCATGGTGGCCCTCATGATCGTCGCCAACGTCCTCGCCGTCTACATCTTCACCAGCTGGCCGTCCCGGCTGGACCTGAACCAGATATCCCGCTACACCCAGCACCTCTCCCTGCCTATCCCCTGCGACACCGCCCCTCTTATCGAAGACCTCAACTTCACTCGCGCCCAGCTCTACTCCACTCACTCCCACATTGCCGAGCTCCACCAGCGCCTCACCTCCGCCAACGCCCTCATCGAGTCGCTCCTCACCGAGCTCACCCGCTTCAATGAGCAGCGACGCTCGTCCGACGACTCCAGCTACCGCACCGACCTCTTCAGCGCCACCAATATGCCGGAGGAGCTGAGGCTGGCCATCGGCCCCCACAAGCTCCCGCTCGGCCACTCCCCTAGGGTCGGCTCTGATGTGGTGCTCCCACCTGTAGGGGCCGCCTGCCTCATGTTCAAGGAGGAGCTGGCCCAGTACATGTCATACGAGGTCGGAGCCGAGTGCCCCGTAGATGACGCCCTGTCCCAGAGGCTCATGGTCAAGGGATGCGAGCCTCTCCCTAGGAGGAGATGCCACCCAAAGAATCCCGCCGGTTTCGCGGAGCCGATCCCGTTCCCGAAGTCCCTGTGGACCACCCCGCCCGACAACAGCATTGCATGGGATGCGTACCAGTGCAAGAGCTACCAGTGCCTCATTGACCGGAGGGACAAGCCTGGGATCTTTGACTGCAAGGACTGTTTCCACCTGGAGGGACGGGAGAAGCACCGTTGGATGTTCGACAACAACAATCTCGACTACGGGATCGATCAGGTCCTGGTGACCAGGCCACCAGGCACCATTCGGATCGGCCTAGACATTGGGGGAGGGAGCGGGACGTTCGCGGCCAGGATGAGGGAACGGAACGTGACCATCGTCACAACCACGATGAACTACGACGGCCCCTTCAACAACTTCATTGCGTCCAGGGGCCTGCTCTCGATGCACATGACCGTCGCCCAGAGGCTGCCCTTCTTCGAGAACACGCTGGACATAGTGCACTCGATGCACGTCCTGAGCAACTGGATCCCGGACAAGATGCTGGAGTTCACTCTGTACGACATATACCGGGTGCTGAGGCCAGGCGGGCTGTTCTGGCTCGATCACTTCTTCTGCCTGGGGCCACAGCTGAATGGGACATACGTGCCGATGATCGACCGGGTCGGGTTCAAGAAGGTGCGGTGGAACGCCGGGAGGAAGCTCGACCGCGGAGGGAATGAGTGGTACTTCTCTGCCCTCCTGGAAAAGCCCAGGACTCAGATCAGTTGATCCGCACCACTCAAAACAAAAGCAAACAAATCTTCTCTCTTTTTTCCTTTCCATAATTTCAAATTGATTTCTTGTTCATGTTTACAATAATATCATGCCACAAAGCACTTTGCGTCTATGTCCCCACGTTAAACCAGATTAACAGGACCAATTCCATGTAATGCAGAAACAAGAATGTAGCTGAGAGTGGTGTAGCATCATATCTCAAGTGATACTCTATTATTCCAGCAAATAACTAACGATTGTACTATGCGCTTACACAAATGAAATGACAGAATATATTAGGCAACTGAGCTTGCGCACATAGTTCCGAGGGGTTTCTCCACTACAGTTCACTCGCGGTTTGTGTCCGAAATAGTTGAAACAGAGTGTTTGCCAAACAAAAGAGAGAGAAACTAGAAACAGAGTACAATCGGAATTCAAAGCTAGATCTGCACAAAGTCTGATGCCACAAAAAAAGAAACGGAGAGATCCTTTACATGACTTGATACTGTATGCATCTGAAGTCAAAATTCCCTAATTATTGTTCACAAGTACGAAAGTCACGCAAGGTCAAATTAAAGTGGATGTAAATTTAAGCAATCTCCCCGGTCTAGGAAGGACAAGATCTAGTTTCGAGTCTCGATCCTCACATCATTTTATTATGGTAGACAAACAACACTAACAATTAGATCTTGGGAGGGTTGCATCATAAATATAGTTCTTTCTAAAGATTTTGATGTTATGTTAGATCGAGTCAATCACATGTCAAGAAACGGTGAATTCTCCCATTGACCGCGCCGAATGACACATGTTCCAATATGTTTCCTGTGCTGCGATTGATCATATGCCCCCAATCACTTAACAAACAAGTCTATACAATATCTTCTCCGAGAGAAGACAGGACTAGGTGTACAGGTGGAAGATAAATGATCAGCTCCTTTAGAATTCTACTGACACATAGAGGCCAGCAATTTTACATGCTAAAATCCTCACGGGATACAAACATCACAAGACCAGAACATCTGGAAAGAGAGAGTCATGAGTACTCATGCAAGTTTGATTTTCTTAATGTACACTGAAGCTGATCATGACTGTAATTTGCCTACAGGGGTTCAATCCTTGAAGGTGGGAAGCCCCCACTATACTCTAAGAAGTCCTCGTTGCTGTAGGGATGTCTGAAATTCCCCTTACTCGCCTCCTCATAACTGGCCGAAGTGGTCGCCGATTCGGCCTTTGGATTCAAGCCCGCGAAAACCATGATGTTCTCAATTTCCTTCAGTACATCTCCCATGCTTGGCCTGTCCGGTCCGGAGTCTTCCACACATCTCATTGCTAACTCCACAAACCTCTCGAGACCCTTCAAAGACGTGCCCAAACCAATGGCCGGGTCGAGAATCCCCTGCAGATTGTAAAAATCTTTGTCCTTATCCATGACCACCCTCACTTCTCTCACAATATATCTTCCCCGCTCGATCGGCCTTCTGGCTGTAAGGAGTTCCAGCATCAATACTCCGAAGCTATAGACATCGCTCTTCTCGGTCAGCTGTTGTGTCATGTAGTATTCAGGATCCAAGTAGCCCTTCACAAGAATATAGCGTGATCGGTTTGTAATACTCAGCACAAATGCTAGACGAACAATACTGCCTTCAACTCTATAACCCTTTTTACACCAACTTAGGTAAACTGATTGTCTCTTGTTCTGAGACAAACTAACATCCTCTCTCATATGACTGCAGAAATAATCATGATTGTCATCCAAACTGAAAAGAACGATTGTCATAAATTTTTTGTCTAAAGAAGACTCTTGATCAAAACCTATAAAGCGCACTTCTTCTCTAGACTACTGTCCTAGTTTTTGGTTCTCAAAAACATGGGCTGTTTTAGGAATCAGGAAAGACATTTAAAAGTTCAATGTTGCCGAGAAAAGTTTGACTATCTAACGTTAGACTAAAGCTCATTACTGACCATTGTTCCTTTGACTTGAGTGGTGACATGACCCCTTTCACCATCTCTCATGGGCTTGGAGAGACCAAAATCGGCGACTTTCGCATTCAAGTGATCATCCAATAAGATATTGGTTGATTTTATGTCCCTATGTATGATCGGAGGATTAGCAAGCTCATGAAGATAAGCCAGACCTCGGGCTGCACCAACGGCTACTTTGAGTCTTCTTGCCCAATCCAACCTGATTCCTGACTTTCCTGCAAGTCGAAACTTGTAGTTGTGAAAAACAGATGATATGAGCGAGGAATTATTTCTTAAAAAACCTAAATTCCGCATGAATGCTTTCTCAACATAAGAAACTTGAGAGGAGATACCTGAGAGACTCTCTTTGAGGGTACCATTTGGAAGGAACTCGTACACTAGCAATTGTTCACCTTGCTCAAAACAAAAACCGACAAGGCTGACAAGATTCTTGTGATGGACTCTTGATAGAAGCTCAATCTCATTTTTGAACTCGGTCCCACCCTGCATAGATCCCTGCTGTGCTCGTTTTATGGCGACAAGAGTTCCAGTGGGAAGAGTACCCCTGTAGACCTGCCACAGCAACAACAAAATTTATAACTCGGCCAGTTTTCAGGACAGCTGATGATTTTGACGACAAATAAAAAAATTTCACAATGCTGGCACGGTATCAATGCAGTTCTCAGATTAAAGAGACATAAACAGGATATTAAGGCAAGACAAAATATTAGATTCATTTACTACTGTTCAGGAATTTAATGGAATCAAGGATCAACTTAAATGGAAACACTCAGATAAGAAAAGCGGTTGAAAAATTTAAAGCCAAGGGAAAACATAAGATTCTCTCGGAAAGAGAAGAAAACTAAGTAGAAACTAATGTGTAGCAACATGTACGACTTTGCCCATCTCTCAGCTTTACTTTTTCTCTGTATGAGCAAACTCACATCTGGTTTTGTCAAGTCTAAGAGGCCCTTATTTGTTCATGTGATATTCTAGCAGGAGATTTCAAACTCAGTAACTGTCATACAGTGAGCCTACGCTTCAAACAAGGTGGCGAATAAATGGAACTTATACAGAAGGTTTTTCTTGTTAACATGAGGACTGCAACGAAAGGCTCCGGGTACATTATAAAGAGTATAGGAGCAAGAGTATGCCAATTGAGGTTGCTCTTAGCAGAACTGAGAGCCAAGAGAGTAAACCTTTCCATAGCCACCAGAGCCAATTCCATTGGCTTCTGAGAAGTTGTTGGTGTATTTCTTAAGCTCTTCAAGAGGAAACCATCTCGCTCCTTTGAGCTGGGGGATGCTGCCGCTGCTCTTATTCGGGTCCCAGTTTACTGCATTTCCATAAATAACAACAAATATTGACTGAGACTTACTTCCAGAATCAGAGAAAAGCTAAATGGCAAGTCTACAGTGGATCTGCCCATACCAAAAGGGTTGCTTTGCTCTGTAGCCTTTTCTGCTCTTTTCTTTTGACGAAAAGCATAAGCCCCTACAAGAGCCAATAGCGAGAGGAGAACAAAACCACCAGCTGCTGCACCAATGATGACTCCGATGTTTAACGATTTTTTGGATGTAGTTGGTACTTCTGTGAGTGAGAAAGAGGGAGAGAGACTGATGTTAGTATGATGAAGAAATAAAGATAATCTAGATGGACAAGGCAGCGGCCCGTGTGTCTCTGTTAAATAATTGGAAATATTACCAGCAAAGTGCGTGTAATTATCGGCGATGAATTGGAAAGGCCCAAATAATTGTGAAGGCTGGTAAGTCTGATTACTGAGCACAAAGCCGATACTGTTTATGCCAGTCCGATTGAAACTAACCCCCTCAGATGGGAAGACCGCAAGATTCAGTTCAAGGTAATCAGCTGAATCCTTGCGTGGATCGCTCAGCGAGACGGAATCTACCGGAAGTTGATTGGACTGAAAGGAAATCATCATAGAGCTTGCGAGGATTTCGAAATAAGTCGAGTTTCCTAATCCTGAGAAAGAAGGAGCTCTTAAACCTAAAGTTCCTGTGTAAGGATAGCTGCATTTACAGTTGGGGCTGGAAGTCTGATTTAAACTGCAAACGGCTGGGACGCAATTATTAGGCGGTGTCGAATATGAGGAGGTTTTGGATTGTGGAATGGTACAGTAACTTAACCCAGCTGCTCCTGTTTCTTGACAAACTGGGTTACCGATAAGTCTGCACAAAAGCAATTATATGGGCACAACATTAGCAAAAAAAACTTTGAAAAAACAAGCATTGTCGATTCAGCTTGTGTCAAAGTGAGTGCAAGGGGCAAAGAGCTTTATATGACTTACATCACCTCGACACTGGAACCTCCAGTACTCTGCTTGAAGTTATCAATAAAATTGATCTGCAAATCAATGAGTTGCAATTGATTGCTAGGGCTGGTGCCTATATCCAATGTTCCATTCAGCTGGTTGTTTTTTAGGACCCTGACATCACAGGAAAATTCACATGTTCAGCCATCATCCCAAATGTCCAAGTTGAAACGCACCAGGAAGTCAATTGAATGAAGCAGGTCGAGTTTTGAAGAAGTATACGTCCATTACATTGAGGTAAAATGTTGAGATCTGGATGATACTTACACACTTTGCAAACTGAAAATGCTGAAAAGGCTGACAGGTAGCCCTCCTTGAACTCCTGTGTGTTCCAGTATTCTGAAATTGATAGAAGGTATAACCCTATAATTTGCATGGAGATCTTTCAATTTTATCTTTAGAAAAAAGGAAAGAGATGGCTAGTCCGCAACCCACAACCAAAAAACAATGAAATGTAATGTTTCATTTCAAGGGGGCAGAGGGGGAGTTGAAGCGAATTGATGGAGGCAGAAGACAGAGATTGGGAAACGTACAATGTTGTCAAAGACTGTAATGTTGGAATCCATGAAGGGAAAACTGTCACGTCAAAACTATTGTTGCTTAAGTCCCTGCAAATCCACCTTTGTCAGTTCAAGTCCATGTTTTACATAGTCGTAGTGGGATGATAAGCAATGGCGAATTCAAAATTAAGAAAAAGAGCCTAAGATTATCTTTTTCTTTTCACCATGTGCTCTGTTTCCCCCAGAGAACTCATAAATGATCGGCAATTACAATGTGTGCGATTAGCTAATTGTAAGACAATTATTACTTACAGGTAGTTGAGGGCGTTCATGCCAGCAAGGTTGGGGAACGGACCATTTAGCCCATTGTTGGAAAGAAGACTAAAAAGTAGACCAGTAAATTTAGGAGATTGATCATAGTGATATACACTAGAAAACAGTGAAATGACACGACCAGAATTATGTTTTGCTTACAATACTTGAACAGATGTAAGATTGTTGAGATTTCCAGGGACTGCACCAGTCAAAATGTTCCTATCAAAGCGCCTGTGACCATTGAAATAGGTTAAACATTGACCTGAAGTGCAATGAGCACAAGGGAAGTAATCCTCATGAGCATTGTGTAGAACCGTAAGTACTCACACAACTTCCAAACTCTGCACCAGTCCAAGAGTGGAAGGGATGCTACCTGTGAGCTGATTGTGTTCAAAAAGCCTGCCCAATTAAAGATGTTCATGAGGATTTCTATCTTAGAATAAAGAATAAGCAGGCAATTGCCTTCTCCGCTTTCCAATAAGTCTCTCCTAGAAAGATGCTTTAAGTATCAAGAGAGGATAACAAAGATGTGCATGGAGAGAGAGAGAGAGAAGATCTAAATTTCTTTACATAAGGCTTGAGAAGCCTCAAGCAAACAATGAATAGCCCAGATGCAGCGCCCTAGTGGATTCTCAGAACTTACACATGTATGAGATTCATCTCAGAACTAAATAGTTGGGAAGGAATTGTGCCATTAAGATGATTCTGTCCAAAATGACTGTGCATGAAGGCAGAATATTAGTCAGATAATATAACAAAGACGAATCAGTTCTCAGATACAGCTATATGATAAGCTAGAAGACATGCACATACAAGTGCTTCGTGTGAAGTAGCATATCAAGGCCATAATTGCTTCCATCCGATACTGGAATAGGTCCAGTTAGCTGATTGTCAGTTAGATCCAGCCAGTAAAGCCTAGAAAGGTTACCGATGGTAGCGGGAATCCGCCCATTGAATCTATTTGAATTTAGAGATCTGCAATATATTGGAAGGACGAGTTCAAATACTTGCAATGATGTATGACCGAATTAAGCAAAACATGTTCTAGCTTGTGCAAAAACTGATCATGTACATGTAAGGTCCAAATCAAGGGTATGGGGTAGAGGACTTACAAATACACCAGGTTGTGTAGAGATCCAATGGAATTTGGTATTTGGCCAGAGAATCCGCAACCAACCAGGATTCTTGCATTTTGAGAGGAAAAGGCAGGTCAGTCATTTTCGACTTTGAAAGTCAGGGGACACAGAATACGCTAGTAAAGCTGATGATATATGGCTTACAATCTTGTGAGCTTCACCAAGTTTCCAATTTGTGCAGGAAGAGATCCAGTCAGACCCTTGTTGTAAGATAGGTCCCTTCATGAAGCAACAAATAAAAGAAGGCCATTTCAAGCAACTTAAACAGATAAAAAGACCAAATTGTAGACAAGAATCCCGCTACTTGCACAACATTGACAGCTCCGCGTGCAATTTAGGACACATGGGAGAGAAGAAAGCACAAGAATATAGATAAGAGGACTACATACACGACACCAGCAAAATAAAAACTTGAGCCCTTTTTCCCAATAATTGCCTCCAATTATGGTTACCACATCCTATTTTAGATAGAGATTTGTGTAATATATTTCTAAATTATCTTTTGGTAGAAAAAGACTACATAAGTGGTAATTAAGTCCTTGCTCCGAACATAAACTGGGAAGTGACGGAGACAGTGAACTTACAGAATCTGTAATTCAGATAGTTGTCCAATGTCTCCCGAAAGTGAACCTGTCAAACCCATGCTCGACAACGTTCTGAAATTAAGAGAGTTCAATGAATTGCAGATAAAGATGGAATTCTTAGAGGTAGATTGTCAAACATAGAGTCAAAAAAGATGCTCAAAAACTGACATGGAAGTAATTCGAGAGTTGGTGCAGTCAATCCCCTCCCAATGATCGCCACAAGGATCAGGCCCCCCCCAGTTGGGTGGTGGATTTGGCCAAGCATTCATGAGCCCCTCAATCGAACTGACTGCATATATAACCAATTGAAAAAATAATAATAAGTAGATATGTGTGTGCGCGTGCGCGCATCAAATAGCAATTATCCAACATCTTCTGTATAAATCTGAGGATGCCAAAAGTTTCAAGAGCAAGTTGCTACAAAGTCGTCATTCATCTATTATCCAGGAGTGCACAAGCAGGAAAACGAAAAATTGGAAGCATAGATACATTATCCGACAGTAGCTGCTCCAAAAATGTCCAGAATTTTGGTTGCTTGCATGATCTTTGTTCCAGCGGGGGGGTCTTTGTAACTGAGGACTCCCTTATCTAACGAAAGTAGCATGATCTTTGTACCAAAACAAAATCCGTGTAGAATGACCTGGATGTAAGATAATGACTTCCAAGTCCAGAACATGCTTAAAGAAAAATCATAAGAACACTTTATAAGGGGAATAAATTTTATTGTTGTGAACCCACTGTAGATACTACGAAGAGTACATTTACTCAGTCGACGCATTGCAAAATTTGAGATCTCCAGCCTCATTCATCTTCTGAAACACAGGCAAAAGGGCTCGCAATAAAGCCTTCTTGGATCAAAGAGGTGGGCAAAAGGGGGTGAAAACAGATTTAGATCACCTCAAAAATGACATTAGCATTGTTGATAGGAATACAGGAAACATCGATATCTCAAGAAAGTTGAGTGCACTAGGCTTCTTATAATTGGTTGAGGACAAATGGTCAACTCTGATTTCTGTAAATATTGTGAAGTCCTCTGATTAGGAGGAACTCAGTTCATCTAAGTGGCCAATGGCTCAACGATATGCAAAAATTCCAGGCTAGCGGGGTTGTGTAATTCGCAAATTCACCTCTATGAAACGATACATTTCAGGAAATAAACATCAAGAAATTGGTTGAGCCAAGCTTACAATCGTAAGGATTTGTGGCTGCATCTCCAATGGAATCTCCAAGGAGAACAACTAGCAGAATTGCCAGAACTCGCACACCCATGACTCAGAATCTCGAAACTTGGAGAATTCAAAGTTGTTCTTTCAGCTTCAGCATTTGCATCACATTGAATTCTTCATCAAGAGACACTCCAACTCGGTTGACATGATGGCAAAATGAAAAGGCTGGCTGCCAACTCCCAGCATATCCTTATTCCTGGCAATCTTTTCTTTCTTTCTTTCTTTCCCTTTTCTTATCAGGGAAAAGAACAGGTATTATCCGTGACAACTTCGGATTGTTGTCTCGATGATCCAATTGACAAGCAATGCGAACATCAGCACACCCGAACCTTATTCGTCTGCATTTCTTATCTCCAAGTGTGCTGCAGTTATTTTAACGGGGAGGAGTTTACTCAGTCTGTTGGATATAAGATAATGAAGTATCAACAGAGTATATTTGCTTTGATCGCAGGTTTGTTTCTCCATTGATTGACTTTATCTAATGTCCTTGAGAAGGCGTACTGTGACGTCTAAAAGCCACACAAGAAAGAGAACTTGAATAGTTGGTGGGTCCCAGTCAATCTCTACCTTGGCCCGACCTTTGAAGCAAAGTCATAGTACTCATCATCCACGCCGGCTCTCCTAACGCTCCAACGAGCGCTCAACCATAACAGACGTTCATCAAGCTCAAGCAAAGCTTGAACTTCTCTAGAGGAATAAGGTCGGTCCACATGTCCGCAAGATTCTTCGCCGCAATAAGCTTCTTTATGATCACATCCTCTTCCAACATATAAATTCTAACGCAGAAATTTCGGTAACCAATTAACTCGATTCTCCAGTGATATCTCTGACCTCTACCGAACATCACATCAAACAGATGTCGCTCGCCAAAATCACTAACCAAGTAATTAGACCACACCACCTCTTCAGCTCCTTCCGTTGTTACCATGTTTCCAGTCTCAATCGTTGATGAAACTATAGTGTCCCCCAACGATGCTCTTCGACTGATAGCACAATTAATAGAAATAAATGCATAATTGCTCAGTAATCGACCATCTTTCAGGCTCCCTGCATGACCCGGGTTCACAAACCCAATTATTGCCACACTACCTGAACTACATACTCGAAAACATACATCAACATCTGTCGTTCCCAATAAAATCAGGAGGATCCACTTCACATCATCACAATGTATACCTGGATTAATCAGATACATTTTCTTGATTGCATGTGATAGATCAAGTCTAGTACTATCCATGGCATAATTCAAGTAACCAACAGTACTAGGATGTAAAGCATAGGACAAGTGCTCCACCTCCATCCAAATACACAGTGACAGACTAGACAATTTATATTATGCATCAAGCGGGGTACTTACAGAATTTCTCAATTGCATATTGAAACGCTTTGATGCTTTCCCGACATAACTCCTCGGAATCACTCGCAACATTCCAACAGTCTCTCTCTGCATCCCCATACTCGAAACTGTCTCTACTGCACCCAAATTATCTATTTTATTACCTGCATATAAATGTCGCTCTATCTCATCCACTTCCACTAACCACCTCGAAACTTCACCATCTATGACCTCAAAACAACTATCAGCTACTATGAAATCTAGCGACTCTGTAGACTCTGTCACATCAACTATACCCTGAATATCTCTAGGCTCTCCTTGAAGCTCTAACTGTTTATGAACACCGTCCAGATCTTTCTCTCCAATTGATCCCTCACTCCTCTTCTAAAACAGAGCAGATTCGTCAAAGGTAACATATCTGCTGAACATAAAACCAGGTGAATCATTCTCAGTGCACCACAACCTATATCCCTTCACCCCATGTGCATAGCCTAGGAATATGCACTTCCTCGCCCTCGGCTCCGACGCGCCATCACTCACACGAGCATAAGCAGGGCAGCCGAACACTCTCAGTCCAGTGTAATCAGCAGACTTACCCGACCAGTTTTCCAATCAATTGTTGGTGATGGTGATCTAGTCACTAACCAACAAGCGTTATTCACAGCTTCAGCCCAAAAATCTTCATCTAATCCAGCATTGGAGAGTAAAGAACGAGCTCTCTCCAATAAATTTCTATTCATCAGTTCTGCAACTCCGTTACGCTATGGTGAATTGGCAATAATGCGGTGTCTCACTATGCCTTCATCTATGCAAAATTGGCTAAGCTCTTTTGAACAGAATTCTAATCCTTTGCCAGTTCTCAGGCACATGATCTTTCTTCCTATCTGCTTTTCGATCATCGCCTTCCACGACTTGAACCGACCAAGCACCTCGCTCTTGTGCTTAAGAAGACAAATCCAGACTTTTTTTCGAAATGTCATCAACAAAGGACAACACATACCTGGCACCTCCCTTGGACAGAACTTGAGAAGGTCCCTATAAGTCTGAGTGTATGTAGCCTACAATCTCCGAGGTCTGATGAACTGCCGTACTGAACTTCACTGTCCGTTGACTATGCATGTCGCAGTGATCACAGAAATTCAGCTTCTCAATTCGATGGCCTCCCAGTAGTCCTCTCTGACTTATAACAATGATATGTCTCTCGCTCATGTGTTCAAGTCTCATATGCCACAATCGTGTCATGTCCTCACCTGAAACCTCAGAGAATCTAGCAGACGAGCCAATCACTGTTTTTCCTTGGAGGAGATACAACCCGCAGTTTAACTTGCCTCGCATCATAGTAAGCACACCTCGAGAGACCTTTAAAACTCCACCTTCAGCGGAAATTCGGTATCCGAACCTATCGAGAGCACTCAACGAGATAAGATTCTTTCTCAGTTCCGGTACATGCCTTACACCTATCAACGTTTGCACCACCCCATTGAGCATCTTAATTTGAACTGTTCCAATCCCTACTACTTCACAAGCAGCACCGTTTCCCATAAGCACCTTACCACCCTCCATGCATTGATAGGTAGTAAATCAATGTTTATGAGAAGTCACATGATAAGAACATTCAGAGTCAAGCACTCAATCATCACCTGATGAGCTCGTGGTGACCGTTAATACATCGTCGGCATCACTAGAACTATTGTCTACTGTGGTGACAATATTATCATTACCTGCAGACTCCATCTGAACTCCTTTACCCTTGTTCTTCAGACAATCTCTCCTGTAATGACCTTCCTCATTATAGTGATAACATCGACGATTTCAAACATTGGACCTCAAATTTAGAGCGGCTCTTCCATTTGCTCCCTCTGGAATCTCTGCGTTCATCTCAACCTCTAATAATCAAACTTTTGCATCATATTTTGCGCTAAGTTATTTTCTCGTAACTTCTTTTGCCACTCCTTAGAAAATAAGGCGGATTTTACCTCTTCCAAGGTAATCGTAGTACGCCCCTGTAACAATGAATCCATGAAGTGCTCAAAAGAATCTAGTAGAGATGCTAACAACATCATACCTTATTTCTCATCAGGCAAGGCTTCATTGACGTTCTTCAAGTCCATCATGAGTTTGTTAAACTCATCTAAGTGGGCTCTGATGGACGTGCCTTCAACCATCAGGAATTGAAACATCCTTTTCAGCATATACAAGAGATTGTTCAAACCCTTCATCAGATAAAGTACCTCAAGTTTTGCCCACAACGCTGTAGCATCTTTTTCTTCGGCCACTTCAATCAAAACCTCATCCGTCAGATTCAACAGGATTATACTCTTTGCTCTCTCCATCAGCTCTATCTTATCAGCGGCTTTCATTATAATCGGCAAATTATCTTCGCCATCCAATGCCTTGGCCAAACCTTGGGTTGTCAGTAACACACGGATCTTAACTTTCCATAATCCAAAGTTGTTCCTCCCGTTAAATTTCTCAATCTCAAATTTCGTTCCATACTTAATTGCAATATAGAATTTCCAGACAGTGATTAGACAAGCAAAAGCCCCAAATCAACTCTAGAAACCCTAACCGTAGCTCTGATACCAATTGTTGAGATATAACGCGGAAAACGCTAACGGATCTTGCAATTAAATCAATACGAAATCACCAAAGAAATAAACGAGGAACAATAAGGACACCAGAGATTTACGTGGTTCGGTTCGAGTATCGGTACCTACGTCTACGGGA